CCTTGCCAAAATCAATTTATCACAAATTAAGGTGCTTATTACTGGTCTTCCAAATCTATTTACTTGATTGACATAAATCTATCTATGCTAGTACCACACAGACTTAATTACTGTAACTTTGTAGCAGGATTTGATATGAGGAACTGTTTGGCATCCAATTTTATTTTTTATACATTGTGTTGCATATTTAGTTTCACTTCAATTTACATGTAGAGTATAAGTTGAGCTTATCAATTTCTATAAAAAAGACAGTTGGGAATTTGAAGAGATTGAATTGCATTTGTATATCAATTTGTGGAGAATTATGATCTTAACAAATTATTACCCTTGGACTTTTGATCTATTTCATTTTTTTCATTTCTTTGATTATTTCACTATTGACTTGTTAAATTTCAGTATAAAAGACTTGTACTTTATTAAAATTTTCCCTAAATATAAAAAAAATACATTACAAAGACATGGTATATCGCAAGGGCCTAGAATCATAATTGGCACACATTCATATTAAAGTCTCAATAAATATTTATTAAATGGAGGATGGATGAATAAATGGGACCTTAATCATACAGGCCAGCAGGGAGGATGAAAAAGCTAGGATGGTGGAGGGTAGTGCCTGAGGCAGGTGGTTATATAAGGTACAATATACAGCACAGTGGCCAGATTCTTGTCTCTAAAATAACTAGCTGAGGTAGAGTTAGCTTCATCCTAGTAGGTGGGGGCAGAAACGCTGACTTGATTTTTCTCCATCCTTATCCTACCCTCTTCTCTTTCCTACCTACCTGTTTTGCTGAGATCCCATCATTCCGGCTCCTCAACCTGCCTGTCACCATCACTTGTCCCAGACAAGTGGACATGTCTGTATATAAATCACATCCATGTTTTAAACAGCTAACCTAAATAACTCAAGTTGTGTCTAGACATGACATGGATCCTTCATTTTGAGTATTAAACTCCCCAAGCTAGTCAACATTTCAGAAAGGTAAGGCTGAGGCACCACAGACAGATCATATAGATTCAATAATAACATTCATTTGCATTAAGCGAGCCCACATCCATATTTTTACTATAGTTCTTATACTTCCGATCTGAATTATATATCACTTGGTAAGATTATGCTTTATTCTGCTTTATTAAATTCACTAACAAGGTAATTCTTTGGGCTGAGATTTGAGGAAGATACAGCAAAAATCTGCACAGAAAATAGCAGTAATTTTCTAAATACAGCCAAGTCAATTGTATCTGTTGTGCACTAACAGAAAGACTCCTGGGTTTTAGTAGACAGCCCACTATGTAATCATCTTGGCTGAATAGCCTCAGATACTTTGTTTTGAAGGGAGTGCAGAAATCCTGCAGGTTTAATTGCCAATAAATCAGCATGACCTCTACTCCCTGGCAGGCTTTTTCTACAATGATCTTTTCAACCAGAAAATGAAGAGATGGATTTTACAGTGTGTGCCTACTGCCTATGGTAAGATAACAGAATTACACTTGTGTTTTCTCCATTACAGGGTACGCTAGATAATGAAGGACTGTATTAATGACATGTTCTGTTTACTTTTAGGTTATTTTCATCTTGTATTATAGTCATTTCTTTTTGTTATTATGGAGACCTGTCTTTCTTTCTTTCTTTTTTTTTTTTTTTCCAAATCCTATCATTTGTTAGTTCAATATTTTACCATCACTAGAGATTTATTCCCTAGCTGGCTTACAAGAATTTACATTAAAATATTTTGGCTCACTCACAAAGCTATTCACAAACTAACTGAATGGATGTTGCCTTTAGCTGATTTTCAGATTTGTTCTAAAAAGCAAGTATCTTAAGTTAATATTTCCAATTCATGACTGTAACTATTATAATATAGAAATTTTAACATTCATCCATACCCAAGTGTAATGTAATCTTGATGCTTGTACTTTTAAATTGTTTGTGTGTTTATTTTAATTTGAATGAGTAATATTGTGTAGTATATTTATTTTTACTTGTATGAACAATTAAAAGAAAACACCAACACTAAAAACTACTAAGCAGCAATAGGTTCTATTTCCTCCTTTATTTCTGAGGCTCCTGCTACTTATTCCAATTTGGAATGGTGCTTTTCCTGCCTGACCACAGGGAGTTGAACTGGATGATCTCTTGAGGCTTTGTCTAATTCTAAGATCTATGATGCAACGTGCTGTGCCAGGATGGCATCTTCTTTTGGGCTGTGTGCAGGATATTTCTGTTGTGCTTTAAATATACATCTAAAAGATGTAAGGATTAAGAAGATTCTTGGGACGATGACAGCAGTAAAATCGTTTTTTAGTATCTTCAAATCCCCAGGTAACAAATAAAGCAATTAGATAGCAAATACCAAAAATATTTATAATAAAATTAGGTGATAAAGTTTCCTCAGAAGCCTGAAATATCAGTAGTTCCCCCTCTATCCATGGTTTTGCTTTCCACAGTTTCAATTATCTATGGTACTGTA